ATCTTAAGACTGCAAGAGCGTCGTTGTCCAGGACGGTCGGCAAAGCGACCTCCTCCGACCATTGCACTGTCTGGAACGCTGTCTCAAACCTCCAATTGAAGGCACTCCAATCGTCGCCGGCATCCTGCCGCGTGGCCTCCGTAGCGTGCATAATGGCGGTTGCCTCCCCAGCGTCTGCGACAGTGGCCGTCATTTCCGCAGGGGGACCCTCCGAGGCTCCAGTCTCGAGCCTCTGCACATCACCCCTCAGCAGTACATCTTGCGGGCGCCCCGACGACATGGATGAGGCGACGAGTGATACCAGCTGGAGAAGCACCATCCTCAGTGACTCCAGCTGCTCCTCCATCCTCCTCCAGCTGTCTTCCACCTGCCGCGGTGAAGAAGCCACAGCCGCGCCGCCCGCTTCTGGCGTGGCTAGTTCACCAGCCACGGTTCCTGTAACCGGGACCATGGATCCCAGGGTCGACAGGTCCTGGGTCACTGCCTCGTCGTCGTCGGAAGACGCAACAGGTGGGTTCTTCTTCTTAAGATGCTTGGACATTTCTCTTTCCGTTGTATGTCTGCACAGCTCTGCTCTCTCTTTCTCTGGGTAGTTCTCTCGCTTTCCCCGCTACTTTGACGATCCGTCCCCGTCCACGGCCACGGCACGCCTCTCTGCTGCTTCGCTGGAGGTTCGCCACGTGGTCGTTGGCAAGGAGAGGTAGAGCGGCGATGCCATCCGGACCCGAGGCTTCCCACACCGACCCCGAGTCCTCTCCTGCCTCCGCTTATATGCCTCCCAGGGGAGCTAAGCTCCGCCTACCGTCATGCCCCCTCATGGAACCTTCTGCATGGTTCCCGTATATTCCGCGTAGCTCCGCACGTTACCTTTGGCCTAGATCGAATCCCTACTCCAGATTGGATACCGGTTACCCAGCGGTGGCCATGCAGATGACCCCTGTAACCCCCCAGGTGGTGCTCTCTCATTATACAAATAGAAAATTATACACAAAAAATGTTCTTCAATCTTTAAATGGATTATTTGCTGGAGAATGAAAACTAATGCCTGTTGTGTTGTAATAAAGGTATATGTTACGTGTAATCATAGTCTGTAAAGAGCATAATCGGCGGTCTGACTATTAATTTATCACCTAATCTATCCGGATGTCCCAACACATGTATGCCATTACTAGCCCAGTTCTTTCACATCGCCACCTTCCAGCAACAATTTTTTTTGCCCCACAGATTGTGGGATCATGTGGTGGAGTCCAAGCTTGTTTCTTGAAAAAAGCTCTGTCGATAAATGTGGTAAATTGGTTAACCTGATTATTTAAACAGTGTCACGTGAACAGTGGTACTCTATTAGGAACTTCATGTAACACTTTGTTTGTATGTCCCAGAGGCATAAAAGTGTTTACTTGCTCAAATGAGCAATGCCTGTTGCAAAGCATTGTTGCCAGCTCTTGCCCGATCACTGCTTCCTCGTGAGGAGCTTGAAACTTGCAATCCACTACTACCTTGCCGTTCATTACTCAGGCCCCTTTAAACATGGCGGCGGCTCCCATTGATCCACAAGTCTAGAAGAGATATCTAATTTGTCAGTACCTCCTAAGTTGGAATATCTTTCGTTGTTCCAACTCATTTGTGGCCCATAACAGTGCATTATATGATCACCATTAGAAATGAGTCACTTATTATAGAATATATTATTATCGTCAGCCCTATGAATAAATCGCTCCAACTAACATCTTTCTACCATGGATGATAGCAGTGTTTGCTCTGGCTCATAGACTGCATATTTTGCCTCCCGAAAGCCATGGTCAGCATGACACGGTGACAATACTGAGCCCCACCCATCACCTTTCGTCCAGCGGCACATGTGGCAACAGTCGTCAGACTTTACTTTCCATCCATTTTCATGTTATAAAATTGGTCTAGTGATTGAATCGATCATTGGTAGAGTAATTGATTACTTTAATAATTAATCTGATAGCCAAGTTTCACTCAAAAGCACCACAAGCGACCATTATTGTTGGAGGGAGAGTGCGCTAAGTTCTGGGTCCATTTTAGCCTAATTGGTGTGGAGCTGCTCTTTATTGTGGCAATGGGGGAAACATCCTATAGCTGGCCACTTTTGAGCAATGCCATCATGTCTAATGAATTATATTTAATGTATGTTTGGAATCAATTGCAAGAATTTAATTCCTTTTCCAGAAAAAATACAATTTAAAACTGCACCTCAACATGGTTAGTTTGTCAGCTGAAACAGTACCGCAGTGCTTGTATGGAAAACTGTGTGACTCATGCAACAGGAATTAACATTTTATTTACTGCATTTGCTGTTTGTATAGCACTGGAAAGCTTTCTAGTAATCACAAAGAAATTAATTGCACCTCTTTAATGGGTGTAATTGCATACTCATACAGAAAAATTAAATCCATTCTAATTGGAATGGAGAATCAAATGCATTTTTATAAATGGAGAAAATACTGGCCATTTCAGATTGCTGACGGAATACTCATTGTAATGTACAATGCTAATGAACTGCAGGGAATATTGGAACAACATGATAATAAAGAAGGCCGCACGTGGAACCCCAAGAGGATGGGAACCACAGAGATGGAGCAATGAGATCGGCTCATGTCGAGGTGCTTGCCAGATTGTTGCATTGCAGGACAATGATGTATGGTGGTGGCTTGAGCAGGCCTTCATGCTGCAATGTGATAGATTATGGCTGATGACTATGATGTTTTGTGTGTGGGTGTATATGTATTTGTTACCAAATCAAGATCACATCCGATAGAGATGGGTGCAAGAACTGCCAGAACTAATCTTAATGCTATTTTGTTGTCAACACTGGAATAAACAATTGTGACCCACTGTCATTCAGGACCACAAAGCGGACATCTTAGATGAAGGGCAGCATATTGAATTGTGGCATTTTTAAACATTTGTCAATTACAAGTGTTTCAATATTCGATAGATGATGACCTGTGTCTCCATTGGTTCCCATTATGAGGTGATTTTAATATCATCCCATTTGCTAATCTGGAACACAATAGTTACTGTAATTGTTATATATAATCTGATATTCATTCTTGCTGAGATGTAAAGTCTATCTGTGACAGATGCAGGGCCCAGATTCAGAACTGTTCTAGAAGAGGTTGCTCTCAGAGTTCTGTTAAGAGTATTACTGAGTGTGTACAAAAAACTGCGAATCATTATAATGGAAAATAAATGTATTGGCGGAGGACTGAAGGGAACATTGCAGAATTAAATCAAAACACATTCAGGAATAAGGTAAATTACATCTGTGTATGACCTGAGCTGGTAACATCAGCATGGGAGGAGGGATTCGAGTCATGGATAGAAAATTACTATCGATTGTAATTAGTTACATACAAGATGGATTTGAAATGAAAATCAGCTGAGAAATCGGCATAACTTTTTCACATTTTCATTAATTTAAACATAGACAAATTATTACATTCGACAACTCAGTTTGAGCCTCACAATAATAATTTATCTGCTTTCAACAGGAAATGAACTGCTATAAAACAAGCTAAATCAAATTATATAATGGTTGGAAACTCTTTTGCAGCTTAATGAAAGACTTACATTCGCATTTTTACATAATGTTTGAGGCTGGTTATATTATTTCCAGCACTGAAACACTGTACAAGGGTCCAACATGTATTGTTTTGCCTCGCGGCAGGTATGGGGGTGTGCGTAAACAGGAATTTCCTGAGATGGTGTTGAGTTTGGTCACGTGACCAGGAAGTGACGATTTAAGATTCCCAAAGCCATGAGGTAGGGTGTCAGCCATTACACAGAGTACCAAATGGAGGCATAAATATCGTCTCAGTGAAGACCGGTGCATCTGTTAATTGTGGAACTTTAAGAAGCATTGTCTCTAAGTTCATTTATGTTCTTATAATACTGGACATGCTGTTATAATGTTAGGATTGCCGTTATAATGCTGTAAATGCCTTTATAATGCTGTAAAATTGTTATGATACATATGAGACCTAGTTAACAACGAAGCTTGCCACTTGCATTATTGTGAATGTTTCTTGTAATTGAATAAGTCGAGTCAGACTTGTACCCACGTAACTTTAATGCGATCTTGAGAGCTGTACATTTAGGCTGCAGTATGGTGATTACACGATGTGACCTTATTTAACAGAGCAGCTTATTCTCTTGTATAGCTATTCAGTGCTAATGTAGGTGCCTGGTCCATCCAGGACCTATTGTTGAGTTTCATGTTATCTCAGACAATATTATGATGCTGCAGTGTTCATTGTATTGATATTCCAAGTATTAACATGCTGTATTTTGTAGTGTGTTTTTCCATCAATTTTACCTCGTTCAATGAATTAAATACGTCGGAGTCAGATGTTCACCCTGGCTCTGAAAGTGTATTGAATGCGAGGTTAACGACTCGGATAGTGGTGCAACGCAGTGCACAGAGAGGCTGAGACATGTATAGAAGAGACAGAAGTAGATGCCAAACTAATGAATATAAATGGTAAAATACCATATGGTTCCGCTGAAAGAATGGACTTGTGTTTTACATTAAAATTAGATTCCCATTTGACCACAGTTTCCTTGAAAAATGCCAGAAAGGCCACTGATTTAGCATTTATTTCCATGAAATGTCTGATTTAAAAAAAAATATGCGTGTGTGTGTGTATATATATAGTGACAGCATTGGTATAGAACCATTTTTTTTTTTACCAAAGCACCTACAATTCCAAGAATACAAGTTTTACTTGGCCTTAAGGCTGTCATAGCGGTAACGCAACTTACTGGAAGTGTGTGATTGAATATGAAGCAATGACGGATCTTAAACAAAGTAATACAATGGAACTTGATACATGTAACATTAATCTTTGTAGGGTACTTAGAGTTGGGAATTCTCATCACTACAACTTGGGATGCAAGAAAATATTTATATAATAAAGAAATACAAACTGTTGAAAGCCATACTAGGAGGAATGTGGATGTGGACTGTGTGACAGGTGCGTGTTAAGATGACACACCTGGCATCTGGCCTGGAATTCCTGCTGCGCCCGAGGGAGTTCCTGGGCAGACGGTTTCTTATGCAAGAGATGTACCAGCGGTACCTGCAGGGCGACGACTGGGATCTGCCCCGGGTAATAAAGCAGAGCAGCAACACTGCACCTCACACACAAGCGACTGCATCACTGAATAAGTGAACTTGCACCTGTCTGTAACGTCAGAGATTGGTGGAGGAAAAACTGGGAAAATGCCATCATCCCGAATAAGCACCACATCGAGAATCCCATCATCCAGCCATCAGGAAGCTCACTGCTCCCATACACTGTATTTATGATTGACCGTGGCAGATGACATTTTCCACAACCGGAAAATAAAATAATCGCCCAAATGTGACTGGAATACATTGTGAGTCTATGGCTCTCTATGTGAGCTCATGTCCACTGCGAGTAATCACCGAGGGCATGAGCGATTCACTCATTATCCTCTAAAGCCAGCAGCTGGATTTTTTACCTAGATGTAGATTTATAGTTGCTCAATTCACATCCATATAAAAGAAGAACATGTCTGTTAAGGACCACTGTGTGAGTGGGGTTGGTGAATCACAGACATCGTGTATGCGTAGCAGAGGAGGTGTCCTTAAATTCCAACGTTGACGACATGATCTTAACGTCAAGTCGGAGCCCCCTGTTTAAATGTGCATGGAGCAGGGTTTCACAGGAAAACAATTCAGTTAATCGATTATCCAGCGCGCAATTATCCGACGGTCCTGGGCTGATCCGACGAAACCAGCAAAACCGCTTCAAAGTCCGGCGATTGGCACCACGTGCGTGACAAATATAGCAGCTATGCTTGATATCAGTGTCAAGTATTATATACAGTGCATTATGCACTTCATACAACAACTTACAGAATGAAAATACTGCACGTACATATATTTAATCAACACTAAAATTGTAATGTGGATAAGATTGCTTCAAAATAGTTTTGCTTTAAGTCCCTCGATTAATTGTGTTTATTCAGACATCAAAGTTTATATATGCTTACTTTTGGAAGTGTTTATTGTCTTTGTATTCCAACAAATTCTAATTGTGAAATTAGCATTACGTCATGAGACGAATATCCATTTTAAAATCTTACAGCAGCATTCCCACGTGTCAGCGAACAGCTTGTGAGAGAATTTTAACACGACTTCAGAAAAATACTTCAAGAGGTCCTTTTATCGTTTATAAAGCAAGAGACACACTTTTTCTCACACACTGCTTGTGTAGGTCTCGCATGATGGTGAAACCAATAAAAAATATATATCTCCGAGCTGAGATATGCCAAATCAAGTGCAAAACAAATTTTATATGATTGGAGTTTTGTGTGCAGCCATTTTGGAACGGGTCAGGATTAATGACACACTCTTCGCCAGTGCAATTTCAGAGTGTAGGAGTCACTCAGTCAGGAGTATTTACTGATTCTGGACTTCTTGCCGATGAGCAGCGCTTCAGTTTTGGCAATATTTAGCTGAAGAATATCAATCGAAACGTCGTAGTTTTTTTGTTATTTTCTTTGAACCTATCTACGTGACTTTACCGAAAGACCCAACGAATATGCTAATTTATCACATTAACATCACTAACCCCGCCCAATTTTTTTATGACCTTTGGGCTACACCCATTTTAAACCTTCAAAACAGTCTGCCTCAGCAGCTTTCCTCTTTTCTCCTCCTGATGAGGATCGCTCGTGTTGTGATCGAAACGTCCCTCCTGATGAGGATCGTTTGTGTTGTGATCGAAACGTCATCATTTTTTCAACCTATCTACGTGACTTTACCGAAAGACCCAAAGAATAACATGACCTATTTTTGGACTTTTCTAAAGAAAGGGTGCCTTAAGATGAGATGGACATTTTCAAGGATTTTGGAATCAACTTGGGGTATTTTTCAGGATGGAAGTCACGACAGCAGTGGCAGCGGCAGTCTTGAGAGGGAATGGAATGGTACTGGATGAGATGGAGGCATTGATGGTAGCGTACGGGAACAGGGTGGGTACGCAGTGAGGGATGAGTTTGGTGGGCACTGGATCGAGAAGAGAACGTGTTTTTAGGCTTGAGCTTATTTTGGTTACTGAGGTATGTCAGCTTTAAAAACGTAAGGAGACAGAAGGACAGTTAATAGATGGAGAGTCAAACACTAAAATACCATTGCTATTATTCTCGACCTTTTCATAAAATGAGGAGGCGAGTTGTTCACACTTGGCAACTGAGCAAGTAGTGGAGGAAGTGCGGTTATGGGGGGAATGCATTAGGAAGTTTACAATGCTGAAAGGGATTTCGATTTTCTAGCACCATTTGTGATGAGACCCAAGTAGAGATCTGATGTGGCTCTCACGAGGGCTGACTGATTTTATTTAATATGAGCATTTGAGGTCTGGTAGTGGATTTCAAGATCATATTTATACATCATCCGTATAACAATTAAAAGTTCATAAAATTTTAAGTCAATGGTTTTTCGCTCACACAAAACAGCTGTCTTACCAAGGGGCTGGAGTCTTCAGAGGGGTAACATCATTCACATCAGTAGAGACAGAGACCACCCAGACCCAGGGCTTGAACCCAGCCGTAGAGCAGTGAGTGACTCGCAATCAGAAGGTCGCAGGTTCAACTCCTGGTTGCCATTGAGATGATTGACTCAGCCCATCATCTATCCAACCCTCCCTCCGGGGTTGATACAATCAGTACTACTTTTTATGCAAGGATGGGGGGGTGAGGAAGCCAACAGCAGTTTCTCATATGAATAAACTCGTCCTCTCTGCCATAGGAATATGGAATTTCCACCACAGACTTTGTAGGGCTATGTTAACAGGAGATAAGCACCGATGACTAAATGGCCCATTTTAAATATCAGGAAACATCGAACAAAGATGGTCAAAAGATGGTCCCTGTATCACACACTTTCAGATGCTTTTGTGCAGCCGTCTGGAATGCTCTTCTTCCGATATTGGTAAGCCACTGGAGCTATGCACTTTGAAATCTAAATTAAAAACGTATTGCTTTAGAACAGTTTTTTTGTATTTAGCTTGTTGTCCTTTTCCCACACCTCCGATTATAATCAGTTGACCGTGATAATTATCACGGTTGGCTAAGTTAGGTGCGAAAGAAGTTAAACGTAAAAAAATTAGAAAATGTGGCACTTTAATGTTCATAAGAGGGATGTTTGGTGGTCCATGAAGCAAAGATTAATGGACACACACTATGAGAGTGAATAAGTGAAGCATACAGTTGTCTTGTGGTGTCAAATTAGATTTGAGACCTGGAAGGAGAATCTTGGGAAACAAAAAAAATAGTAAGGTGGTTGTCTCTAAACATGACTGGAGAAAGGGTGGTGAGAACAATGGACTCGGTGTTAAAGATTACGAGGTCGAGAGTGTCTGGGAGATGAGATAAGTTGGGATGGATTCACAGATTCCAAGAGTGATTAAAGGTGGTCATTCAACCTGAAACTAGGTCAGAGCAGAGAGCTTTCGCACTGGGAGAGACTGGGCCAATGTGACTGCTACATCTGAGGAGTATCACAGACAATTTTTATTTTATACATCTTTGTTAGATTGCAACTGGAAACATTCCAGATCTCGAAGGATGAGAATGTTTTTAATTTAACAAACCAGACACTACCATGTGCTAAACGAGGGAGCCATTAAGCCATACGTCGGCCATTAATGGTCATACATCTCCTGTTGCTGTCAGGGTCCTGTAAACTCTGCAAGTCTTAGAACGGAAAAATTCTAACTTTTTTCTTTTTGCAATTTTCTTTTTGTAAGGAGTTGCCAGGATATCGGTTAAATAAAGGTACTCTTTGGGTCTTTTGGTAAAGTCACGTAGATAGAAAAATAAAAAAATTAATCACGACGTTCAATCGCAACACAGCAATCGTCTTCAGGTGAAAAAATACAGCAGGCGGACTGCTGAGGCAAGAAGATATAGCCTGCTGTATTTTTTCACCTGAAGACGATTGCTTGTGTTGCGATCGAAACATCGTGATTTTTATTTTTCTATCTACGTGACTTTACCGAAAGACCCAAAGAGTATGAATTCCTGCAGTCACGAAAGCTTTAAGTCAAGATTTTAAAAAAGGTACTTTTGTTCAAATGGAATCCAGAATTTTCTATGCGCCGTTTTGCCTGGACAAAGTGTAGTCATAGGGAATCAGGGCATTTAAGGCCGTGGGCATATTCTGTACAGCCAGAATATTTGCCAAAAAAGGTTGCCCTTGGGAACACGTTTTCAAGAAGCAGCAGAGTTCAGCCAAAATTAAGCCAGAGACGTGCCAAAGAACATCTGCTTTTGGATAAGCAGTGAGTCATAAAATACAACAAAAGGCACCTAGTATTTTTACAAGTAATGCAAAACTATTTCTTATAACATTGTAACTTATCGTACCAGTATTTTATATCAGAGGAGACATGATGTGACCCTGCAATGTTGGAAGTAGAATATTTCAAGAGCTTGCAACATCAACAATGACATCAATGACACTTTGTATTTATATATCTGTCAAATAGAGTTTAAGTATGAAGAAGTAGAAATATCATTTCTCAATTGGTGTGATTCATTTCATAGTAAAATTGTGAATACAGCCATTAAACATGATCACATTTAAGGCAATGCACTCCATTATATACACTTTTTTTTATTTGTGCATGCTTCAAGCTCTGTATTTTGTTAAGAAGTGAAACACTCCATTTGGTTTACTCAATACGGAGGCTAAACATGTGCTCATGCAGTGCTGCTGTTGCTCCCGATGCAGGACAAGGACCCGTTTTGGGAATGTCCGGAGAGCACCGTGTCTGTGGGTGTGGTCCAGGTCGCCCTGCAGCCTCTTTCCCACCAGGTAAGAGGACGCTGAGGGAGGAAACGCGAGACAGGACAGTAGTAATTCATGAGAGGCCTTTGATGCCTGGTTGTCTGTGTCTCTGTCCACCTGGCTTTCTCTAATCACTCACGGGCAAGAATTGTGCCCTTGGCAGAAGAGCACCGGGAACAGCTTGCTAGATATGCACGTATTTTGATTGTATCGATGCCTCCACAGAAACCCCCCAAGCAAAAGTTGTGACCTTCCTTTGTAAGTGCTGGAAGATGTTCTCTTTACACACCTGTTTAAACCCCCCAACGACAACAATAGAAACGGATGATTTACTTATTTTATTACTAGCTGCGTTGCCCGTTATGGGAACAAAGCAACCGCCAAAGCTTGCTTCAACATAATCCGTAGTGAATTTGAAATTCGTCGTTGTGTTCTCCCCTCTCTGGACAGCTGGCGGTTAGCGAGACTTACCCCGTGCTGGATTGTCATGGGCAGAAGCAGGGGCACCTGCGTGTGCTCATCCAGCCGTGTGACTCTGATGGTGCGCCAAAACGGCAACAAGTCGGCGATCCAAACGAGCTGGTAGGAGCAGCAATGGTGAGCGCCGTTCACTCTGACTTTTCATGGGCTGCGCCCCGTTCCTGTGATGGCTGTTTTGGAAAGAAGGAGCAGGTTTCACAAAGACACAGCTTTACAATAGGCTGACATTGCTGAATGCGTATTTCAACATCTCCCACTCATAGCAGTTAAAATGGACCGCTTGCGTTCTTTTATTTTGAAGTCAGAAAATATTGTTCTCATTGTTGGTTTTAATGCATTTCAAAATGGACCGGATGTGGCTTTCGAGTATAAATAAACATGATGTTATATTTGAATTTGCTCCTTCCTGTTAAATTATGTTCCATTAATTTGTACTTACAATGTTTATTTGATGTTTACATCACAAATCTGCCAAGAATACATCGCCTAAAGTCTTAATTAAGCAACCGTTAATTAGGTAATCTGTGACACTATCACATAACTGTTGCACAAGTTTAGATCATTCGTCCGTTGTTATGCTAGAAGAATAAAGTAATAATAAAGTTTACAAATAAATATAACAAATACACATGTAAAAACTGGTATACAGTAGTGTGTTTTTATTTATATGTATGTCCATCCCAGTCTAAAATTCTGATTTAAGCATGTAGCTTGCCAAGAATAAAATTCTGCCTTGAATACAAGACACCAGAAATGGATTTTAGTATTCAGAATACCGCAGAGATTTTACATTGAGGCTCCAATTGATGTTCTGTAACATTTGCACAGTGGTTATTTGTGCTCCTCTGATGCAGGGCCAGCAAAATATCAAATGCAGATTTTTTTTTCATGGGCAGTCCTCTCAGTATGACACATTCAGCTGAGGGACCACTGTGATCAATGACTGGTCCTAAATTTTAGTGAAAGCAAGGGGAACTCTTAAATTAATGTTATTATGTAATATTACTACTACTACTACGTTTCTTTCCTCAGGAAAGCCTTATTGATATGAACACTATTTGACAGGAGGGTTCAGCCAGGGTTTGGTCCTGAGACCTAATGTAACCCCAATTGAGTATTTTGCAGGTCACTTTTCAGCATCAGAATGTTTTGGCAACACCGGTTACTTTTTTGTTTTTTAGTTATGGGAGGAAACTCGGAAATCCGGAGGAAACCCATACAGACAGGGGGAAAACATACAAACTCCATATACAAAACATCCATACATACAAACATACAAACTCCACGCACAAAGCTGCTCAAGTTGGGAATCAAACCCAATAACCTATTTCTGTGAGGCACCCTGCTACCCATAATACGATTTGCTTGAATGTGTATTGTGTATAAAAATAATGATTGTATTTTTTTATCTCTCCAAAAATACAAATTACTCTGCTCATAATGTCACAAAATATATGTCAATGTCTCCTTCGTTTATCCGTCTCTCCATGTAAAAAAAGTATTTTTCGTGCAAATATATGATCATCTGATGACTTATGATCTAAATTTTCACTTGCAAAAATTATTCCCTTCCTTAAACTTATTTTAATTTATAACATCTCTGCTTTCTATCTATGCGTTACTTACTTTTAAATGCCTTCACCACACCTTTTAACCACCGTCTGCATCCATATAAATTGAGCCAATGACAGGCTCTCTGTCACAAACCCAGCCTGATGATGGCTGTGCATCCTTCATGATGCATATAGTGTCTGTGATCTCATTAGATGTGTCTTTCCAAATACATCACTTGATATCACAATTATTACTGTGGACTGGCATACTGTAAACATCACTTTTGAATCGGAATATCTTACATTTACTCTTTTGTTGCAAAATCAAGTACACATGATAGTACATGTCAACTCCAAAGGGTTCAAATCAGTGAGATTACTACTGGAAACCCTGGTGGAAACCTCAAGAAACCGAAAGAGAAAACGCAAGAAATAGAGGGAAACCCAAGAAACCGAGGCACAGAAATATTTGCCTGTCGTACAGCAGGCGAGGGCAAGTGTACTTTTGCATAAAAAAGGGGGATAACTAAATAAGTTTGCATTGCAACAATAAGCTAATGCACACCACCACTTCGTGAGGACCACCATAGTAAATGAAATTATAATATTCTTGGTTCTTTCGGTAAAGTCACGTTGAAGGGAAACAATAAAATAATAAAATATACATAAAACAATAAAATTCTCACGACGTTTCGACTGTAACACAAACAGTCATCATCAGGTGTGAAAACCAACGGCAAGAAACATTGTTTCCCTTCAACGTGACTTTACCGAAAGAACCAAGAATATGAATCACTGCAGTCACGAAAGCTTTAAATTGAAATTATAATGTTTATCTTGGACAGTTATTAGTTGCCCGCTATTTTTTTGTAGAAAGGTTGTAAGTTAAGACATCTTTTGGAGCTGACTTACGTAACACCTGAAATATCGGGAGCTTCGGGTGCACTTCATTGCTTGAAGCTGAGTGTTATTTTAAGGTCAACAACAATCCATTGCACTGCCATGAGAAACTAATCATTGAGACTTGACATGGGTGCATTATTCTATTGGAACATGTTCAGCATTAAAGTGAGTTACGTGATCCTTTTAATACCAAATATACTAATAAGATTTGAAGCTTTCGCGACTGCAGGAATCCATACTATTGGTTCTTTCGGTAAAGTCACGTAGGTAGAAAAATAAAATAATAATATCACGACGTTTCGATCGCAACACAAGCGGTCGTCCTCAGGCAGAAAAAAATATAATCCAGCAGTGGAACTGCTGAACCAGCGAGAGAGCTGTTACAACAAGGGGTGCTGGATTATATTTTTTGTCCGTGCTGCTGAACCAGCGAGAGAGCTGTTAACAGCTGTTAACAGGGAACGACCGCTTGTGTTGTGATCGAAACGTCGTGATATATTATTTTTGGTTTATTTTATTTTTCTACCCACGTTACTTTACCGAAATAACCAAAGAGTATACTAATAAGACATTGATTTTAATTATTGGATCCATCGGCTCCTAGTCATTATATTCCATGTCCATCGTTTCTAAATATTGAGTCAGAATGTTATATGCGTTAAGCTATTCTGAACTTTGGAGGAAGACACAATAAGCATGAGATTATTATTAATTGTTCGTTATCCCAGCTCACACAGCCAATTTATCTGTCTAAATGTTGTAAAAAAAGTCATCTATATCATCACATTGTTGAAGGATTGTGGCTATTTAGCTCAAATATGTAAAAACATTTCTTGCAGAAAATTAGAGAAGCTTGTTTTTTTCTTTTACTTGTGTTGAGTAGAATCAACATGGGAAAATAATATATTGTTTGATTTGATATACTGTATTTCACAATTTGAAATGTAAATAATTAATATTTGTAATAGAAAGAACACAGTCGTTCTCAATGTATTCTCTTTATCTAAACATGTTCCCAAACATAATAATTAGGGTTAAAACAAAAATAAAACATCACGTTGTTTCATTTTCCAAATTAAGTTTATGTTCCCGAATTTTGTACAATTGTTATGAAAACATTCAGATTTTAATAACAATGTTTGCAATGCATAAGTGTGCATTTGAACGATTATTAAATTTTGCATCCGATACGCATATTTTCATACTTATAAGTTGCAAGCTCAATTAATAAATGTTGCGTGTTCAAATAATGGTTGTGAGTTGAATCAGCTCATCATCCCTGCTGGGTCGATAACACAGGTACCACTTTGTAGGGAAGACAACGGTGTTTGTTATTAAGGTGTTTTGAGGTTAGATTACGTAAATATAAATGTGTCGTTAACCCACCACCACCCGACAGCGAATTAGTAAAGTTCGTCATGTAAATAAAACGTGCCAATTAGTTACTGCTTCAGCACACCGGTGTGTTGGAGAGGACATCCACAACACTTACAACTTGAGTACGACGTTTCCCTTGTAATTACAACCAGATTCATCAGGCGATTTGCCAGAACTGTGGTTGTCAACTGCAGAAACTTTCCCCTAGCAAAGAGATGAGGGATCCACAGCTGGCTGAGGGCTGTAAATAGAATCTGAGCACCATGTCAATGCTCATTCGAGCATAAAATAATTTTACACATTTACAAAAAATGTGTTGGTTAATTTGAAGGATGATCTGCTATAATTGAATGTTGTGCAATTAACAACATCTCTTTAAAGTTGCTCACATATCCTGATTGCCAAACCACAGCGGTTTGAGTAACTGTTGCGCATGTATTTTCATATCTTTTTAGGATTAAAAGCTGTATGAAAAATTCGATTGTATTTAATTATTTAAGAGAAAGTATTCTTATTTTCACATTAAAAAGATAACCTTGAGCAGATGTTTTACAGGAACCACGGATGACCGTTTGCCTACTTGAGTCAAATATATTCGTTGAGTAATTGCCATTGTACCAGCAGCATGTGTTTGTGATTTTAAAATATAACTGAAAATCATTCAGCATTACGTAAGCTTTGCGTCTCCTCCGGTTGATTTTCGACCAATGGAGTCCCTGGGCGAATCTAATAGTGATACTTTGCATTGCAGATTGGCAAGCAACTGCACCTCCTAATAAGGATTTTGGGAGCCCGAGGTATTCCTGAGCACTTCACTAAGGTGAGTGATGGTGTGCCTGTGTTCGTCTGCCCATGGCCCGAGGCTGTATTCTTATCTGGATGTAATGACACTCCTTTTCCCAGCACCTTAACTCTATCCACCCCATTATCTATGCTACACACTCCACCACCACCACCACCACAACGCACCCACCTGTCTTTATATCTCTAAAGCCAAACGCTTTCCTGTCTCCCAACACCTGCACCCCATATTTTACCTCTCCTAATCCACATACCTCACCAAACCCCCACAAGCCCAAATACCTGTTTTTCCTAAGTCATTCCCACACCCAGTGACATTCTTAATCCTCACATGCTTTACAGTCCCTTAATCCTCTCACCCATGTGCTTGACAACGTCCGCATATTCTGCGCACAAATAATGTGAGATGGATTTTAGAAGTGGCAAAAAATTCGTACTCGAAAGCAGTCCACATATTGAAATGGAACTGCATGGGTTGCGTGAATTGCCACACCTGGCAGTCGAAACAAGTCACGTAGGTAGAAAAATAATAGATCACGACGTTTCGATCGCAACACAAGCAATCGTCATCAGGACCACAGCAAGAAAAAAACTGCTGAAGTAGTTTTGCTGTGGTTGTCCCACCTGATGACGATTGCTTGTGCTGCGATCGAAACGTCGTGATCTATTATTTTTCTACCTACGTGACTTTACCGAAAGAACCAAAGAGTATAGATTTCTACAGTCACGAAAGCTTCAAATCAAGTTTGGAAACGTTTTAATGTCTGAGGCAACGCCGTTGCATCTGTTCACACTCAGCGGCAGATATTGTATGTATATCCAGCTGGGTATGACGACGATGAATTAATAATAGGTGGGGGATGGCAGTAACAACATGCATTTTTAAATGTGCGTCTGTGTATTTCACTCGTGCTTATAGAAACACATTACAAACAATCTAAACGTCGAGGCCCGGGTTGCATTTTGACGCGATCTAGAAGCGAGAGACGTGGCCTGTTTTGTCTCGTGTGCCAACTCACGCCAACCATCGCTGCATGATCCACTTGTTTGTTCTCAATTTTGAAAAAATGTCGAAATGGAAAGCGTATAATATACACGGTATATACATATATAAAGCATTTAGACAGACAAATAAACAAGCTGGCTGCTAAAATGAACAATATTTGCAATTCCACTGTTCATGTTTGCACTTTTTTCCCGTATACACAGACTCACTGTAGATTTAAGCTGTTTTGTGAAGATGAGGATGAGACTGCAGAAGTGGCCTCAAGTAACCCTGACTACAACTTTGAGAAGACCTTTTTCTTTAATCCTGTCACTGAGGAGGTTTGAAATACATTTCCCTTCACCGTACGTATTCTCTGTAGTCATATTGCAACCAAGTTGGTAAATGCATGCACCAATAAGCATTCTCTCTCTGTGGTGACAGAGGCATTATTTTTTCCATGAATGTTAGACTTGGCAATGGAAGAGCCTCTGTGAGTTAATAGGTGAGGAGTATTTAAATGTTGCACTATACCAAAATATGCTATAGAATGGCATATGTATTGAAACAACCTCAAATATATTTCATGAATAGAAAGTGTACAGTATTGCTATTTCGTTGTCATTATTTTGCAAGTTTAGTTTGTAAACACATTTTATATGTTGAAAACACGGGCCATATTTACATGGTTTACTTAATGAGTACAGATAGTTATCGTGCTGAATCTGTTTTCGTGCCATTAACAATCTGCTTCACTTCCTTGGTTCCAGTTTTTAGATTACATTGCAAAGTCTGTTCTCACCATTGAAGTCTGTGGAACACAAGTTGAAAGGGTGCAGGAAGACAAAGCTCAGTGTGGACAAGAAAGGGACCAAACGGGTCCAAGCAAAAACCATGTAACGGCAGTGACTCATGATTCGCATACACAAAACTATATTTTCAATTTGAACGTGCAATTAAATATCCATAATCTATTAATGTGATCACATTGGCACTGACAAACTGTGTTTTCAGATGTTTTATATCCAGGATGCTGAAACGGTGCGGCAACTGGAGGAAGCCGAGCGGAAACTGGTAATTAATTTAATGTGGTTAAAATATTGAATTGCAGTTGCTTGCTATGTTTGCATTGCTCACACGAGGACTGGAAAACAATTGGGAATATGCACCATTGCTGTTCATAATACTCGACAAAACGTACCATTTTCTCCTCCCAAGAGAACCAGGAAAACAGTTGTGCTGTGTCAATCTGAGAGTCGCATTAGTCGAGCGTGTGTTCTGTATGAGAACATGTGTCACCTGCAGGAGTCATTAAATTCGTTTTCTCAGACAAGTTGAGTGTTCCACCTGCTAAATCTTATTCACCCAGGGTAACTCTGATGAAGGTGGTGTGAATTAACTTTTATTTTCATGTGTTTTTATTTTGCTGTTGTTGACGACGATGGAAATCTTTTGTTACATTGTTTTACAGATTGTTCTGTCAGACTTTGTTTATCAAGCACATCGGGATCGTGCAACAGTTGTCTTAGTAAGTTCGCCTGTTCGTTTATTTGCGCACTGACTGTGAAATGAATATGACTACACATGGTCATTGAGTCAAAGGCTGGATTTTCGTCACCCTTCAAAATTTGGTGTAAATGTCAAAGAATAAGAGTGCCAATTCTGACTTGCATCTATGTTTAGTGCAGCAATAGAGCATGATTTGCCTGCTCATAATTTATTGTGAAATAAATATAAATATATAATTTTGGTAAAGAGAGTTACAAAATGGGCTGGGTCTGAATAATCGCTTACCTTTTTTGTTCACCATCGTGTTGAGCCAGGAATTAAAAAACAATGCTTACACGTGCCTTACGGAAAGTGACCGTGAAATGTTTATGATTTTGGCCGGTTTCCTGGTCGTGTTTTAAAGTGTGGATAGAGTTTTAACTTGAGTCACTGTAAACATTTAACAACACATTCCCACGTAAGTAAAAGTTCATTTAAAACGAGTGGAAGGACCCCTCATAGTACGAGGGCCCCCACCTGTCCACCCCTGAGTGCCCCCCACAACCCCACCCCCCTCACGTGTGACAACCCCCAGGCCCCATATAAGTAATCTGCTGTTTTGTTGCAACAAAAAGGCAAGATAATATAGATTGTGAGGTCGTTTTACATTTTCTAAGATTCAGAGAATATGCTGGCAAAATAATTACATTAATAGGAGCACAAATTTAAACGTTCATGCAATCTTAAATTAACTCTGTCAGTCTTCTGTATTTGTTAGTCTTGCCTCTGTGGTATCGCTGTTATATATCTTACGAAATTCTTCCACCGTTTCAATGTGAGTCAACGCAATGTTTATATGTTACAAGAATAATCCTGTTTAAAATGGCAACGGCCCACAGAATATAATTATTGTTGTGATGGAGAGGAGCCCAGCCAGCAGCCAGCTGCCAGCCAGGAAACTTAAGGCATAGATTATTTTTAATATTAGTAGGATGTTAAAGGGGTTTTCCTATTGGATGTTTCTAAATTACACTTACCAATAGAAACTCCCAGTTTAATTGGCTTTTTAGCACTTGGCTAGTTAATGTAATTGACGTCTCTTTACAAGTTATCACTCGGCCTTAAGATTTACATTGAACTGCCCATATAGGACTCACCACTGTCATCTCTACATTGGGTCAAACTTAAGATCTCTTAATGTTCGACGGCTTGTGCACCAGATCTTATTTATTCACGATGTACTTACAAAAAATCCGCAGACTACCTGCTGGATCTCCTCTCTGTTTCAAAGAACAAATTTGACCTCAGGTCTTCGCTCATTTACCAGCTTCACATTCCCTATTGCCGTACAAAAACTGGAGGAAGGGCCTTTGCTATTGATGCCCCCAGGGTCTGGAATGCTATTGCCAATAAACTGCAACTTGAATCACTACCTACAGTGAGGGAAAAAAGTATTTGATCCCCTGCTGATTTTGTACGTTTGCCCACTGACAAAGAAATGATCAGTCTATAATTTTAATGGTAGGTTTATTTGAACAGTGAGACAGAATAACAACAAAAAAGCCAGAAAAACACATGTAAAAAATGTTATGAATTGATTTGCATTTTAATGAGGGAAATACGTATTTGACCCCTTTGCAAAACATGACTTAGTACTTGGTGGCAAAACCCTTGTTGGCAATCACAGAGGCCAGACGTTTTTTTGTAGTTGGCTACCAAGTTTGCACACATCTCAGGAGGGATTTTGTCCCACTCCTCTTTGCAGATCTTCTCCAAGTCATTAAGGTTTCGAGGCTGACGTTTAGCAACTCGAACCTTCAGCTCCCTCCACATATTTTCTATGGGATTAAGGTCTGGAGACTGGCTAGGCCACTCCAGGACCTTAATGTGCTTCTTCTTGAGCCACTCCTTTGTTGCCTTGGCCGTGTGTTTTGGGTCATTGTCATGCTGGAATACCCATCCATGACCCATTTTCAATGCCCTGGCTGAGGGAAGGAGGTTATCACCCAAGATTTGACGATACATGACCCCGTCCATCGTCCCTTTGATGCGGTGAAGTTTTCCTGTCCCCTTAGCAGAAAACACCCCCAAAGCATAATGTTTCCACCTCCATGTTTTACGGTGGGGATGGTGTTCTTGGGGTCATAGGCAACATTCTTCCTCCTCCTCCTCCTCCAAACACGGCGAGTTGAGTTGATGCCAAAGAGCGCCATTTTGGTCTCATCTGACCACAACACTTTCACCCAGTTGTCCTCTGAATCATTAAGATGTTCATTGGCAAACTTCAGACGGGCATTTATATGTGCTTTCTTGAGCAGGGGGACCTTGCGGGCGCTGCAGGATTTCAGTCCTTCACGGCGTAGTGTGTTACCAATTATTTTCTTGGTGACTATGGTCCCAGCTGCCTTGAAATCATTGACAAGATCCTCCCGTGTAGATCTGGGCTGATTCCTCACCGTTCTCATGATCATTGCAACTCCACGAGGTGAGATCTTGCATGGAGCCCCAGGCCGAGGGAGATTTACAGTTCTTTTGTGTTCCATTTGCGAATAATCGCACCAACTGTTGTCACCTTCTCACCAAGCTGCTTGGCAATGGTATTGTAGCCCATTCCAGCCTCGTGTAGGTCTACAATTTTGGCCCTGACATCCTTGGAGAGCTCTTTGGTCTTGGCCATGGTCGAGAGTTTGGAATCTGATTGATTGATTGCTTCTGTGGACAGGTGTCTTTTATACAGGTAACAAGCTGAGATTAGGAGCACTCCCTTTAAGAGTGTGCTCCTAATCCCAGCTCGTTACCTGTATAAAAGACACCTTGGAGCCAGAAATCTTTCTGATTGAGAGGGGGTCAAATACTTATTTCCCTCATTAAAATGCTAATCAATTTATAACATTTTTAACATGCGTTTTTGTGGATTTTGTTGTTGTTATTCTGTCTCTCACTGTTGAAATAAACCTATTAAAATTATAGACTGATCATTTCTTTGTCAGTGGGCGAACGTACAAAATCAGCAGGGGATCAAATACTTTTCTCACTCACTGTATGAGATCTTCACTCAAAACTGCTCTAGAGGAGTTGTACACCCCTAGCTGCCACTACTATTCAGTGGCCTAAAATAAAATAAAATGTTTCGCTCCGGATGACTGCTGCAAAGTATTATCTGTATTTTGATTTAGCGTGCTGATCTTAAAGGTGCATTGAAAAATTTGATACTCAGACTGATGCTCCTCTTGTTGTGGAGTGACTCATGCAGCCAGCTATGGCTCTAGGGTTTGGTGTTACATGTTGTTTATGTCGTTTATTGGGAAAATTCGGTCACAGTTCCTATGATCACTGTTACATTGCTTTTTTGGCTTTATTTTGGTGATGTCGAAAAGTTTTTTGGTTTGGCCATGTTTGTTTGTTGTAGTACGGAGTTAGACTGATGGCCTTAATCTAAGTTGTCTTGTGGTTGTTGTTGTTGTTGTTGTTTGACTTGCATCCCACTGGATTTTTGCACACAGCGTTGGTGTATGGTGCTTTTTCAGGAATATTTTGCTGTTTTTTCCTGGAATTTCTGTTTGCACAGTCACATAGTCACTTTAAGATGTTTTCTTGTTCATGTTTTTTGTTTTTTGTTTGTTGCGGTTGCACCCGATTCAAGAGCCGAATGGCTCACAGGGCTATACCAAATAAATGAAATGAAATTAAACTGAACTGAAGTATATCTAAAAGTATTAATAATGTGCTCTGCCCTAACAGAAGCTGCGATTAAATATTGTACAGTTCGTGTTTTTGTCATAGTTTGGCCTCGAAACTGAGCTGAAACTAAAATAACTGTTCTAAAAATAATTACCATCAAAATGTTCTATGTCCTTGTGTGCAGCTGAAAGACATCCAGACGGCACTGAGTGGAGAGACGCCAGTATACCGCGAGCTGGTACCAGGGCCTCTTTTCCGGCGCGTGGGAGCCTCATGTCGCCATGACCCACACCCTGACATCTCCACCGTCTGTGTTATCATATGATGCTCACGGGGCTATGTAGCATGTGTTTCCCACCACTGGGCCACCTTTCTGTCAGATTCCAACATTCGCTGGGGAGATGGAAGTTAACACTGATCATCTGAATGCAAAAGTCTGACCTTAGCATGTGAGCAGTAAATATTTTCCACCCATATTCGCTGGTGGCTTTAGCAGATGTCTGAAATGGCCTGTCATTTAGAAATCTGGCTTTCATAGTTTACAGAACTTTTGAAGTGTGAAAGTGGTGAGCATAAATCTAGGGTTTTTGCTTCTTTCTTGTGGGTCTCGTAATGGGAATATGATATCTAAATTTTTTTTTTCAGAATCATGATATGTAATTATACTGGAGGAATCCGATGAGATATAAAGCTCTTTTTCACAGCCGTTCAATAGTTTCACAGATGTCCAGAAGTTTTACATGTGACATGCTGCAAAGTGTCCTTGTCGGACCCTTTCAGTTTCTTGTGTGGTCAAATAATTCTCCTTGTGGCCTCAGCTAAGATGTTTTTTAAAATCATAATTTCATCAATTGAGATATAAACGATGCTGAAAGTGTGTTTGGCTGGAAGAGTGAATCTAAACTTTATTCTAAATATGATACAATTTTATTTATACAGGTTTCCCTCACTTTATGCGAGTTAGGTTTGTGCGATTTTGCATTCATGCGGCTTATCTGTTACTACCCAAAATTCACTACATGTGGTTTTAATTTACTCAAATGCAGCTATGTGGTTGGACGTGGGACAACATTGTGTGTATTGTATGCACTGCTCGGCAGGCAGCTGTTTTGTGCGGTGCATTGTGGATTGGGTGACTGCACGGTCCATGCTACGCAATTTCGATTTGTGCTTCATTTTTTGGGAACACATCTACCGCATAAAGCGAGGGAAACCTATATAGCATCCAAGTCCTAGCGCATTGCAAGAAAGTACAGAACGTGTAGGAATATTTTTTTATTGAGGGAAAGACGCAGTCAAAAGAATACAGAAAAGTCTTGAGCCTTGACTATGTGGAGAAAGTCGACTGTACGGACGTTGGGGGAAGGGATTTGCACACTATGGGGACAGCAGAGGGGATTAAATTATCTCACTGAGCGAAGGTCGTCGAGTGGGCCTTCAACAGAGAGCCTTAGTTGCTGGAGCAGAGAGTGAGTAGAGGAGATTGAGTGAGAAAATTATTATGACTTGAGAGATAGGGAGGGATGAGTCCATAGAGGTTGTAAGGTAGTATTGAAATTGATCCAGGATTGGATTGAAACCCAGTGGAGGGAGTGAATGTACTTTGAAAGCTCTAATTATTTTCCACGTGATCAATAAGTTCATCCCACCGAGTCCATTTCATAATTTGAATGTCACCCACTGCAGATCATTGTCACTTGTAACATTTAGCGATTTACAGTGAGGGAAAACAGTATTTGATCCCCTGCTGATTTTGTATGCTTGCCCACTGACAAAGAAATGATCATTCTATAATTTTAATGGTAGGTTTATTTGAACAGTGAAAGACAGAATAACAACAAAAAAATCCAGAAAAACGCATGTCAAAAATGTTATAAATTGATTTGCATTTTAATGAGGGAAATAAGTATTTGACCCCTCTACAAAACATGACTTAGTACTTGGTGGCAAAACCCTTCTTGTAGTTGGCCACCAGGTTTGCACACATCTCAGGAGGGATTTTGTCCCACCCCTCTTTGCAGATCTTCTCCAAGTCATTAAGGTTTCGAGGCTGACGTTTGGCAACTCGAACCTTCAGCTCCCTCCACAGATTTTCTATGGGATTAAGGTCTGGAGACTGGCTAGGCCACTCCAGGACCTTAATGTGCTTCTTCTTGAGCCACTCCTTTGTTGCCTTGGCCGTGTGTTTTGGGTCATTGTAATGCTGAAATACCCATCCACGACCCATTTTCAATGCCCTGGCTGACGGAAGGAGGTTCTCACCAAAGATTTGACGGTACATGGCCCCGTCCATCGTCTCTTTGATGCGGTCAAGTTGTCCTGTCCCCTTAGCAGAAAAGCACCCCCAAAGCATAATGTTTCCACCTCCATGTTTGACGGTGGGGATGGTGTTCTTGGGGTCATAGGCAGCATTCCTCCTCCTCCAAACACGGCGAGTTGAGTTGATGCCAAAGAGCGCCATTTTGGTCTCATCTGACCACAACACTTTCACCCAGTCGTCCTCTGAATCATTCAGATGTTCATTGGCAAACTTCAGACGGGCATGTATATGTGCTTTCTTGAGCAGGGGGACCTTGCGGGCGCTGCTGACAAGATCCTCCCGTGTAGTTTCGGGCTGATTCCTCACCGTTCTCATGATCATTGCAACTCCACGAGGTGAGATCTTGAATGGACCCCCAGGCCGAGGGAGATTTACAGTTATTTTGTGTTTCTTCCATTTGCGAATAATCGCACCAACTGTTGTCACCTTCTCACCAAGCTGCTTGGCAATGGTCTTGTAGCCCATTCCAGCCTTGTGTAGGTCTACAATCTTGTCCCTGACATCCTTGGGAGAGCTCTTTGGTCTTGACCATGGTGGAGAGTTTGGAATCTGATTGATTGATTGCTTCTGTGGACAGGTGTCTTTTATACAGGTAACAAGCTGAGATTAGGAGCACTCCCTTTAAGAGCGTGCTCCTAATCTCAGCTCGTTACCTGTATAAAAGACACCTGGGAGCCAGAAATCTTTCTGATTGAGAGGGGGTCAAATACTTATTTCCCTCATTAAAATGCAAATCAATTTATAACATTTTTGACATGCGTTTTTCTGGATTTTCTTTTTGTTATTCTGTCTCTCACTGTTCAAATAAACCTACCATTACATTATAGACTGATCATTTCTTTGTCAGTGGGCAAACGTACAAAATCAGCAGGGGATCAAATACTTTTTTCCCTCACTGTACATATAGTTAGTTTTTAGACATCCCAATATACCAGAAATTTTCAGGACATTAACCGAATATCATTGCCATTTGAGGACACCATTTTCAAGTTTTACAGCTGTGTTGTTTTTGTGATGTCATTATATTTTGGGGTGTAAAAGACATGATATAACGTAAAAAAGTATTTGCATCCGGTCTTTTGATAGTTCATTAACTCCTGTTAATTCTGTGTTTTAAATATCATTAATTGCATTTTACTGGGTATTTAAATGTTGTTTTGTCGTTGTTATTGCGTGTATTTTAGCGTTTGAAGTTTTAGGTGGTGAAATGTTCTTACAATCGTCATGAGACCTCGTACATATCTTAAGCAATTTTAATGCATCTTTCATGCAACCTTGGCTTATCCAAAAATGTTTTAGCATAACGTGAAAATTATATATATAATTTACACTTATATTGCTATCGTCTTCATTGCTTGGGACTTGGAAAATTAAAAAAACAATTGCAAAAATAGTAATTCATCAATATTTTAACTCGCTTAAGACCAGATTCCTTTGTTGACACATGGTTTAAGCGACGTTAATTTGTTTGAGATCCAACTGAATACGATTTAAACGTATTCTGGGCTTTTGTGTGTGCACCTGACATTGGCTGAGCATTATTGACAGGATACAATATTAAATTGCCAGCCTCATAAGTCTCACAGACCTGTTACAGCACCAACCACTAACTTCTGCCTCATTTGGTATTATTGTAGTCACATAAATTAAAACTTGAGTAAGAATAGAACAAGTCCAGCGGTTGTGGTAATGGTGCATGCAATAGGCACAATGGGTAATGGACTAACTACAGGGCCTCCCAGGCTCCCGGACTTCAAAATGCCTCCTGTGATAATAATCGCTAAGTCTCAACACCCACCGGAGGTTATTTCATACAGCCTGCCCTGAAGCCAGAATTTTCCCATTAGTCATCGAATGTAGCCTAAACATGCAAATATAAAACATAAACTTTAATGATAACTAAAGTACAGATCTCTTCATTCCATAAGTCATGTGAGAGTGTTTAAACAAGAAATAGATTTGTTCCATTACGTATCCTATCTCTAAATATATGGTTATACAAATGACGCAGAGTGTACAAAGAGTCCTGAGTATGGGATCTTCATGTTTTATTAGAAGCAGTGTACAAAGAATGTGCCAGTTCCACACTTGTTTTACACAATGCATACCACCATTGAATATCAAACGGCTGCATTTCCAAATGTTTATTGGCACAATTAATGTAGTGGTATGCATTTTCCTGATATTAGCTAAAGTGAATGAAAAAATGATATATTTCAAAAAATAGTAAAGAATAATTCCCTTTTGGTTCGCAAATTATTTAAGATTGGAAATACGACGAACATCCTTTATAATTATGTATGATTTAATTTTCACAAAGAAAAAAAAACAGTGATTAATGAATGTAACTATTTTTTGCCCTGCAAACTTCCATCACGTAATTAATTCATGACAAACCACGGACTCCATTTCGGTTGTTTTCATAAAATTCAGAGGTACTGTGTTTTCACAAAGACCCTTGCCTAGCTGTAGCCAAGCACCGCAATGTATTGCAACAAAAATATGAAAGTAAAAAAAGACTGAACGTAGTTTATAAAAAAAAAATCTAACAATAGGTACCCTCACTGACCACAAAAGCACAGAGACAAGGCCACAACGTGAACTGAATTCGCAAAGAAACACTTGTGTTGCGAATGTGTTTAAAATGCACATTCCAAAGAACAATATATCAAGGATTGCTTTTAGGATTGACGTGTGTGAGTTTGGGTTTTGAATAAACTTAATGAATACGAAAAATTGGTTTCCTTATTATTGCGTTGGTGGCTCATCTTCCTGTGTCTTCTTTGCTCTAGCTTGAGAACCTGTAACACAATTACTGAAGTTATTATTGCTCTAGCTTGAGAACCTGTAACACAATTACTGAAGTTAGTATTGCTCTAGCTCGAGAACCTGTAACACAATTACTGAAGTTATTATTGCTCTAGCTTGAGAACCTGTAACACAATTACTGAAGTTAGTATTGCTCTAGCTCGAGAACCTGTAACACAATTACTGAAGTTATTATTGAACCACAAATATAACGTGGAAGCCTAAAAATGTGTTTACATTTTAAATGTATTTTTACTGGAGAATGTTTCCATACATAACAGCGAAGTGAGTAATGTAGTTGTGGGAAAGAGTGAAAACTATCAGTCTAAGGTTAATTTAATATTTGCCGTGAAGGTTTTGAACATGAAGCCTTAAATAGAAGCGATTTAAAAAGGCAAAAAAAATTACCTTTTTGCGGACATCTGAAACAAAAAGAAAACATTCAATTCTGTCTCTCAAGTAATTTTATACCAGGTCTCTGAAGAGTTGACTGGTTGCACTTGGAAAAAAAGAACTCAGGTCCTGATTCATCTCGAGTTTGTTTACACAGAGTTGTGTAATCCTGGCACTATGGAAATTTCAGAAAACTCTTGCACTTAATTCACGTGACAGTTTTCGGCCTGATTCTCTGCACGTGTTCAGCCTTCCAACGCACCAAGCTGACCAATCGGTGTCACATGAAGTCACGCATACTAAAAGGTGTTTGCATCCTCCACTGAGGTGTATAATGTATTGTTAAACCTTCTTGGCTTAGCAATACTTGATGATAAGTGGTTTAAATGATGATACATGGTGACACAGCTTATGACAAATGTTGGCAGTGCCCTGAACCCTGTCAGCTTTGGGCCATTCCAAGATTTTACGAGGAGCGGCCATCATTCCGCCAATAAGTGACAGAATGATAGCCAAAACTACAATATGAATCAAGCCCTTAATGTATCATAGGTGACACATTGATATTATTAGGTCACTTATCACAGTAAAATAATACATCCTTGTATTGTCAGTCACATAAGGTAAAAGTGTGTGGACTCTATGGGGTCTATAGGATCCATGAGCTGGTTTACTTTGCAGAGACTGATCAACAGCACACGCAGCGGTTAAGGAGGTGGCAGTGAGCGCTGCTGTGCATATTGGGCCTCACCTGGCTGGTGACAAGTCCTTGCACATTCAGCCTCTGTGTCGAAGCGGTTGGCATTGCCACCACAGCCACTGTACCAGAATTGGATGCAGCGCCGCTCGGTGCCATCGTGATGCCATTTGAGGGCAAAATTCTGGCAGGTGCCCTCATTGAGTGGCAGCTTGCACACCTCTGCGAAGCAAAGTTGCAAACAATTGCCAAAGTTACCCTTCGTGAAATAAATATATATATCCAGTTGGGTGGTGCTATGGCAGAGCACTCAGCCCGTATGTGTAAGGTTAGGCTAGGCCCATTATCCCTCCAGGATCGAATACCACTTTGTGGAAGGCCAATCGTGTCGCTCACCATAGAAATGTGGAATTACTCCAATGGTGGTTAGTGCTACCACAATGCTACGTCCAGCAGGGAGGCACTTTTACAGAGACTTAAAAAAGCAATAATTTGACATGCCTGTAAATAATTATTTTTTATAATTACATAACATAAAAGGAGTTCCTTTATGATGTGCTACTCTCCACTCTGCTTGAGTGAAAAAGATTCAGTGTCTGCACGGACTTTGGGGTGTAAT